GGAGGGAGAGAGGGAGAGAGCGAGCGAGAGAAGAGAGGAGGAGGAGAGAGAGAGAGAGAGAGAGAGAGGGGGGGGGGGGTGGTGGGAGACACAGAGCGAGAGAGGAGAGAGAGAGAGAGAGAGGGGGAGAAGACAGTGAGCGAAAGAGGGAGGGAGAGAGGGAGAGACAGTGAGCGAGAAAGGGAGGGAGAGAGGGAGAGAGCGAGCGAGAGAAGAGAGGAGGAGGAGAGAGAGAGAGAGAGAGAGAGAGGGGGAGAAGACAGTGAGCGAAAGAGGGAGGGAGAGAGGGAGAGACAGTGAGCGAGAAAGGGAGGGAGAGAGGGAGAGAGCGAGCGAGAGAAGAGAGGAGGAGGAGAGAGAGAGAGAGAGAGAGAGTGGGCGATAAGATATCTCAACAAGAAACACTCTTACGTATAGGCATACACGTAGGACGTATGGGCAGGCATACACACATACACGCAGTGGTATGATTAGCCGAACATGATTATAACGATCTGATTATAAGGGCCGTTGTCTTCCAAATCGCATTACTATATATACTGTAATCCAGTGATCAATGCAATGATGTTACAGGACCACCTGTAGGCCTACAATTGTAAAGATCATTTGCATTAGTATTACAATATTATATTGACTATGCCAATAATAAGGTCCACCGACCGATAATGATTGCATTGGGTTCCTTGACCCCGATAATGTTGGTTTATGTTCCTATGTTGAATATTAGTTGAAATATGAAGGATAATGGATTTTGTTGGGACAATTGTTTAATTCAAGATGGCGCCCAGATACCATGCCGATGGAGATGGGTACCCGATCTCATATGAATGTAGGCCTACACAGCTTAAACTACCTGCGTGCCAATTTTCATGCGTTTGTCAAAAAATGCACAATTCATCTGATTTTTGGCTCTTAGATCTTGCTATGATAAGGTAATACTTGTAAAGAGCAGGAGTAAGAGTAGGAACCGTATATGCCACTTAGAAAATTCCACTTACGAATGATGCTATGACGTAGTGGTAGTATTTTGTCGTCATGTTGGCATCAGCTAGTAGATCCATCACTCTCTGCGTTGATTCCAGCGATCGCGAATCTATTATGATACGCCTGAGCGCCATCTTGTCGTCAGCGTCATTCAGATACTTATCGCCATGGTAACAAAGAGAAGCAAATCGTCGTTAGTAATTATCGTCTTTAACAACGGTATTGGCACGTGCCACTCATCTCTATATGCTAACTCTATAACACTGTTAGTATATATAGAGATCAGTGGAACGCGCGGTAGGTGACGGTGGAGTGACGTACCAGTTGCGGAAAATGAAACCATTCGGCGAAAGAGATGTTCCCGTAAAATATGAAAACGCCGGCAACCTCTGTCAGTTCGCAAATTAACACAGCACGACTAACAACGAGTAGCATCAGCACAACATGATTCAGAATTCCATTTTTCTGTTATTTCCCGCTGATAGCCGCGATATCCCACGCACAGGCAAAGCTAACTAACTCCGCAAACCAAGTTGCATCAACACAAGATGGTTCATAATTACATTTGTCTGTTATTTACAGTTGATAACCACGATGTCTCATGCGCAGACTATAACCTCGCTATTCACTAACTCCTCGAACCGGACGCGCGCCATATACGCAACGTTCACCGCGTTTCCCCGAGCGCGGGAGAGCGGTATATATCACGCGCACGCGCCCTACCCGGGGAATTCTATCGGCAGCAGCACTGCTATCGAAACATTCATCACGCCGACGTCGCACCAAATACTGCCGACGCCATCCGCTTCTTTTATCGCGTGTTGACGAAACGTCGGCAATAGTCGGGACCGGGCGTCGCTCGCGCGTCGAGTCGACGAACGAGGCGCGCACGATCGGTGTCAGTCTAGACCGCTCAACCCTTTATTAACCTTCAAGAGCTGGCTCGCAGTGCTGTTGTCCGGGGAGAGAAAGCGAGCGGCCACGTTGAGTGTATTACTTCGGGGTCCCATCAGAATAAACAGTCGCTCCAAATTGAGAAGACCTGGTCGAGAAAGAAACACATATGGAAATCGCAAACTGTGCGTACACGGGGTTTCACTCTGCCTCGTTTTTGCCGTATTGTTTGGCTTCATCCAACCAATAAAATCCTCGAAAAACAATATTGCGTGTAACGTCACCGCCTAAGTCTAGAATTTGTTTAAAAAAACCGAGATCAATTGTGACATGTGGCTGTAAAAATATCACAAAACCTCCAGTACCTTCATCGCAGGTGTACAGATAGTACACGTAGTCCCATCCATAGTATCGTATGATGTCATATAAAGCCGTGGAGTAGTCTGGTCGCATGTAAACCTGATAGTGGTCCTGTTCTTCCACGCTATAGACGAAAATTATCGTCACGTATACACACATGTGACGTGTGTGCGTGTGCGTGTATTAGTTCGTTCGTTCGTACACGCGTGCGTGTGTGTGCGTGCGTGTGCGCGTGCGCGCGTACGTGTGTGGGCGCGCGTGCGTGCGTGCGTGCGTGCGTGTGTTGTTTGTTAATTCGATTATTTGCATTTGTGCTTACTCATATCATATTTATCATATGTATATTTAATCACCGCAACATGTTTATATACCTCCAACTCATCATAGCGGATTTCCACAGAGACCTTCTCTATAGCAACACGTAAGAAATCTTAAGGGAGTATTGGTAACATGGTTAAAATGGGATGTGCTCTACGCCTGGCACATATTGCGTGGAGTTAAGTGATTACCCGCATGAGCAGACAACTATATAGTGAAGTCGTGCGTGACAATCGATAGAAAAACCGTATTAAACGGTGAAATTGTCATCGTTTACGATGTTGAAACCCGCGCGCTCGGGGGACGGATAAAAGGTGAGCTAGCGAATTCGCGTGACCGTCTGCGCCGCACGGAAAACACTCCAGCTTATTGGAGCTCATACCGTATTCCTTTTTCACCGTGTAATTTCTCAACGCAAATTGCGTTTTGGCCAGTAAAATAGTGGAACGTAAATAACGAAGTGCCGTTATTAAGCGCTCGACGTGGCGCTGTTATATGCGACCGCGCTGGGTGGTGGTGTTGCTTGTAGTGTATGCTAGGCGTAGGTGTAACTGTTACGTGCGTGAAACACTCAAGTGGTGTAGGTGGTGCTGTTACGTGCGTGTAAAACTCAAGTGGTGTAGGTGGTGCTGTTACGTGCGTGTAAAACTCAAGTGGTGTAGGTGGTGCTGTTACGTGCGTGTAACACTCAAATGGTGTAGATGGTGCTGTTACGTGCGTGTAACACTCAAATGGTGTAGATGGTGCTGTTACGTACGTGTAACACTCAGGTGGTGTAGGTGGTGCTGTTACGTGCGTGTAACACTCAGGTGGTGTAGGTGGTGCTGTTACGTGCGTGTAACACTCAAATGGTGTAGATGGTGCTGTTACGTACGTGTAACACTCAGGTGGTGTAGGTGGTGCTGTTACGTGCGTG